TGAGTGTAAGGTGTGTTTCTAGGTACAACATGTGTAAGTCACGTTTGCTCTCGTATTTTAAAAAAAGTTTTAGTAAGAGTTTTACGGCACTTGCAACGCAATGAGGTCATATAAGTGTCGAAGAATAGATTACTCGTTACAAGAGAGTAAAATACACAAAAAAGGAGGGGGGATATGATAAGGACGACAGATGTTTGATAAGAACGAGCAATCCACACCAGCGCACCCGCCAACCACCCACTTGCTCTCGTCTGATTCCATTCAATTTTGTGTATACTTTGCACTTCATTTGCAGCGGTAGCACCCATACCAGACTTCTAGTGCGTATAAAGAGCTGACTACTTCAGCCTTTTCTGTTTATTTGTTTTAGTAGAGGTTTTACGGCGCTCGAAACTGCATAAGGTCATATGAGCGCCAGAAGATTAGAGGTGTTACAAGAGAGTAACAAACATAAAAAAGAAGAAGGGGAGATAAAGAAGATAGATGTTTGATAGGAAAGAAGGAGCAAACCACACCAGAGGACCCGCCAACCACCCACGCTGACTACTTCAGCCTTTTCGCAAACAAGTACAACATCAAAAGACTTTCTCCAGTGATGGGTGCTCCTATACAACGTAAGTACATTGCGTTTTATGGTGTTTTAGTAAGAGTATTTCGGCACTTGCAACGGGATTAGGTCATACAAGTCGTGTCGAAGATCGAGATTTTACCCAAAAAAAGCCTCAAACCGTGTACGTAAAAGGAGCGTACTACCAAATCAAGTGCTTGCTACAGCCATCCCCTGTAGTGTCTATCATGTATGTTTGATGAGCAGGCACCAAAAAAGTATCAATTATATATAATATAATATACATATATAACTAAACATGAATAATTCAAACACGTCATATGTCAGAGACGCGCTTCTCCCATATATTAAGCACACTGTACTCAATACTATTTATTATAAACGTTTGTGTCGACATGCACCTATTGATTACTTGAAAAGAAGGTATTTTTTTACTTTCCCTCCCGTCTCACACTCAGCTACCAGTTGTCTATTTTCTACTAAATATTGATGCGCTGAACACGAATATCAACTTCATTTCCGTCGCAAATTAATAGTTTTTGAAATATTTGATTGTTTTTAACCGAGATAGACATGCTTTGGACCAATCAGGGGGTTCCAGGGGGCCTGCCCCACTGGGGTAAAAGAAAATCAGGGGGGTTACAGGGTTTTTACCCATAATTTGATATTTTACAGTTAGATTTGAAATTGTCTTGAAAATAATTGATTTGCGACAGTTTTAGTGGCTTTATGTGTGATCTGCAGCAAACAGTACAGCAGTTTGATCCCTGAAACAGTGCATCTGTGTGCGGGAGTGAAAGTAAAAAATTACTGAAAAGAACACACAAAGAACATGTAATTATAAAAGAAAAACGAGAAAGGATCATATATTATAAGACTAACTCCCTAAAACTTGTCAGTTAGAACACCCGACGCAAAGCGTACACAGAGTACCGGTACGGTAAAGAAGAGAAAGAGAAGGTAGCAATTTTCACCATGTTCTGCTCGCTCCAGTCATCATTCTCAGTAAAAAAAACATTCGTGATAGGCTTATCATATACATAAAGAAATATAATCTATTGCTGTCCCCTCTTAGTTTAGTTTTAGTAGAAGTTTTACGGCGCTCGCAACTGCAAAAGGTCATATGAGCGCCAGAAGATTAGAGGTGTTACAAGAGAGTGAGTAACAAACATAAAAAAAAGAAGTAGGGGAGATAGGGACGATAGAAGTTTAATAGGGAAGAAGAAGCAAACCACACCAGAGCACCCGCCAACCACCCACGTTCCCTCTTAGTTTTAGTAAGAGTTTTATGGCACTGGCAACACAATAAGGTCATATAAGAGCCGAAGAATAGAGGTGTGACAAGAGAGTAACATATTACACAAAAAAGAAGGAGCAGAGATAAAGACGATATAGGGTGTTCGATAGGAAAGAATGAGCAAACTACACTAGAGCGCCCTCTAACCATCCACACAGAATGCAGTGAATGCGCCGGGAAGTTTCAGCTAAGTTTTAGTTTTCATAAGAGTTTTACACAGCACTTGCAGCACAATTAGGTCATAAACGTGCCGACGATTAGAGTAGATACAAGAAAGAAAAGAAGGAGGGTGCATAACAACGATAGATGTTTGATAGGAGGAGGAAAGCGAACCACACCAGAACACCTGCAAACCACCCACGAGTAGTCTCAGCTAACACCGAGTCGTCACAACAGCGACCACATTCCGAGGGATGCACGTCATGACAACAGACACACAGCTGAGACACATAATGGGCACACTGCATGTTATAGCTGGGAGCAATCACCAAACCCAAACACTAGAGTAAACAGTTAAAGAAACAAGGACGGACGGCATGCAGTCACAATGTAATTCTGACACAATGCAAGACATGCGCACACCATAGTACAGCACAGTGGAGTCCACTTAAACTGAAAAAGGTTAATCTCCCCCAAAAATAAACGATAAACCGAAAGAAAATATAACCCCCGATTTTTTTTAAAAATTCTATTTGAGCAACCTCTCTAACTCGAAACTGAAAACCCAGTTAACTCGAGGAAAGTGCAGCAGTCCTGCAGATTTCGGTTTAAGTTTAAGCAGAATCCACAGTATATTATGTACTTAAACAAAGCAGGCAGATTAAACGTGGACAAGCAAAGCACATTTACTCTTCCGTCCCAAGAGAAACACTGGGCTACAACAATAAAGAACATCACTTCGTCACTCAGTGCAGAAAGGAAATTAATCAGGTGCTGGACAGGAAAAATTTAAAAAACAAAACTCTTAGTTTAGTTTCACAAAAAGTTTTACAGCACTTTCAACAGAAATAGAAGTCATCTATACTAAAAGTGCCAAAGATTAGAGGTGATACTAGAGAGTAACATACAAAGAAAAGAAGGGGGCGAGATAAGGACAACAGATGTTTGACGAGAAAGAAGGAGCAAATCACACCAGAGTACTCCGCCAACCATCCATCTGAAACCCTTAAAGAAGGTAGAAAGTAATTTGACAAGCAAAGAAAGCGAAATGTCAGTGTTCTGACAAAAGGGTAAATAATGTGCATGTAACTACACTTGTGAGGCACGAAAAAGGAAATGCGAATATTGAACACATAACCCACTTGCAGTTTACAGGGAATCGGCACGGCAAAGGCTACATTTCACTAGGACAGTGGTAAATCAGAAGAAAAAATAATTGGGGGTAGAGAGCACACTCACATTCGTCAACTTTACCATATAGGCCTACACATGTCCTTACTATATTTAATTTTGAAATTTAGTGACAGATGAGTAGGCCTACAATCTACTTCAGACGGGCACATCCTTTTGTTAACATGGATTTGAAGAAGGCGTACGTACCAAAAACACGTAATGCCACAGTCATTCAAACACATTTTTCTATTTTTTCAACATACTTAACTTGAAAAAAAAATCCATTCAATACTTTCATAATACTAATACATTGATTTCATAGAAAAAAGCAGAATGTACCGACTAAACAAAAAGCCTACAACATTCCATCCCGCAGTGGCTTAAGTCAGGTTCTCAGGCAAAAAGGAAACTCCTAACAAGATTCAACATTGAGAAACAAACATGCATTGCTGATGTAAAAAAACATGCCCTGATTTCAAATGCTGCTCAAAAGTTGAGAAAAAGCAGGATGACATAATATATGTGTACGTGACCTAAAATTAAAATGAAGATTTAAAAGAGATGTTCCAAACTTCTGGTAACCACTACAAGGACAAGACTTAAATAGTGGCCGATGGTGTCAATCTGCTGACTGGTAAAGAAATACTTGGAACCAATATGAAAAAAGAAACTGCAGTGAGAAAAATGAAGGGTGCTTTCACGGAAACAAATATGTGAACACAGAATTTAACACTTTGTGCAGTCATTTGGCGCAATAATCTGACAGTGAAAATTATCCGTTCTGGTCACCTGGCACAGATCTGCGCCAGGCCCGAAAAGTCCATTGCAGTCACTCTCCTGGCTGGGGGACCAGATGGGGGTATTTTGTACTGCTGACCGTGTGACCGCAAAGTGTTAAAGAAAATCCACGGCTTAGAGTAGGACTCCGCCATACAGCATTTTGCAAAGTGACATATGATGGATTCTTACACTGAGCCGTCAAAAAGTAAAGAATAACATGAGGAGCTTCAGCACAGCAAACGAATGTATAGCGTGAGCATGCTCTGTTGGCAGATTCAGAATTCAAAGAAGACTGCACTCAAAGATCTTGACATGATGAGCTCTGACTCCCCTCCCTTTTTCAAGTATCTTAACTCTTCTGATGAAGCTTCATTGTCGCCGTGCATCCTCAGCAGAGGTGCTTTAGATGTGTGACATATATCACGATGCTAAGGCAGACTCATTGCAGACTTCATTAAGAGGTGAACATGAAGCATAGATGTGTGCTGACTTTACATTATATCAAAACTAGTTTCCGTTGGATTTTATGCACAGGTATGGAATCATTTTTAGTCCGCAAAAACTTAATGGAGAAAACTTTAAAATAATACACAGTATTTTGAAATATAAGAACAAAACAGTTCATTATTGGCACAAATAAAGTGCGGCAAAAATTCACCTCTTTGATTATAAATAAAATTATGCCTTTAACAAAAGTAAAAAACACAATAAAACAAGAGGACAACATCTTCGCTTTGGACAAGAAAAAAATGTCCGTTGTGACACTGGCACTTAAAGGAGGTCGTCCCATCACTAGGGAAAAGAAAAAAAAAGTAGGCCTACTTTGTACTGAAGCTTACACTACTGAATAACCAGAATGTGCTGTAAATGTTCTATTGTAATTCATGATTCATCGGAAAATGGAAAGTTTTCAAGCCAAGACCAAAGAGTACAATCTAAATTTATTTAAGGATTCTGTGTTGCCATAAAAGGTGATAAAACTTAGAATTGGCGGCCCAGGGGGATTTGCGCCATAACTCTTACCACGTCCTCAAGCGACCGTTCAGAATCAGTGCTTTGCTATGGCCGCAAGTGAGAAAAGAGGATAAAGCTATAAAAAAATCCCACAAGACCATACATTTTTGTAAATCTGAAATGGTAGGCATGCAAGAATGTGTATGCACATAAGTGTTCATGTGTATACAGTGTCTTGGCACAGCACTAGACCCATATAGCTAAGTTAGCTCCCCCCATTCTCTGAAGATTACTTTTTCAAAGGATTTCATTAACTAACATTATCAACTACCCAGTACAAGCTTTAAAAAAAATGATTTTGAAAATATGTTTAAAACATTATAACAGTAACATACTTTAAAAATATGAGTCTGTCATGTATGAAATAATTTTTAGTAAAGATGACAAACAAAAAGTAAAAGATACAAGATTTTGAAATAATACTCTTGCAGAAAACATGCAGTACAGCCTTTATATAAGAAAATATAGAAGGGCTTGGATTAAAGGAAGACAGCATTCAACTAAAAAAAATACGAGACTTTGTAATATCAGCAACAAAAATTACCTCCATCTTCAAGCTGTGCCTGAGATCTTCATTTTCTCTTGCTGACTCTTGAAGATCGGTGACTTGTTGCTGCAAAATTTCTATTGTCTTGAGGTGATTGCACTTCTCCCTACAACGAAATGAACACAGAATCACTGCTCCATGCAGACTGAAAGTCATTACAATTTTTCTGAATGAAACAAAAGCAGAAAGAAAAATTCTAGCACTAACAAATCCCACAACTTTTTTCCCACTCATTGCAGTTATGTCACACGGAAGATCTTTAAAAATATATTTTAAAAATAAAACCCTACAATTAAAACATTAATTTGCCAAAGCCTTAAACAATTCAGTCTGAAGGTGAAAGTAGGTTAGTAATAAGTTTCTTAAAAAATTCAATAAAATTACAGGGGGAAAAAATTCATGAAGTCAAGGTCAAAGAGGCCTCTTTGATAAGTTTAATTGTGTATCTAAAACTTATACCAACTACTTCATTCCATGGCATCATGTATTTGAGGAACCTCATTACAACAATTTATTTTTCAATTGAGCCCTGCCATGCCTTGAACGTAGGCCTATATTATATCTTGCAGGGTGAGATAAAAACAGAGATCATATTAATGAACACAAAAAGAGACGTGAAATCTATGAAAAAACTCCAGCAATGTCCACAATATCATACAAACAATATTCACAAGCAATAAACGTTCAACTCACAATCTCTCAGCTTGCACAGTATTATTTGCCTCATCAAGTTTTCTCTGCATCACAAGAGAGTTTTCAGCTGCCTGAGATGCTTTTCTCAGAGCCTGGAAATATGAAATAATTATATAAAACCAAAAAAACATCTAAAAGGACATTTACATAAATATATACATGTATATTATATCATTGGAGTCCAACTCTAACTATGTAGACCTACCCACCAAAGTAGGCCAAAAACTTTTATTGTTTCATTTTATTCACAACTTTAGTTACAATTGGTGACACTTATATAATAATATAAGTAGACTAAATAAAAACTCTACACAAAATTCTGAGGGTTTTGGAATAATAAGAAAAAAGAAATTATTACTCCTCCCCTCATCCCCCCCCCCCCCTTTGTAAGACTTGAGTGTTTGACCTAATTTGGTAGACAATTTTTTTGTGGGGTTTTATTTTTGGTAAGTGGTTTATGGTGCTTGCAACTGCACAAGGTCATATGAGCGCGCGGGACACACCAAACATTTTCAACTGGTAGGAAATTTTGAATTTTGTCCGGGTGGCGACCGAAGCCTACTCTTCTCGATTTTGGACCATCAAGGGATCTTTAACGTGCGCAACTTGCACACAGGACCTCCGAGATTTTTCGCCTTTGTCCAAAAAGGCTAGATATAGATCTTCCTACCAGAAGATCAGGGGTGTGGCTGAAAGACAGCAGTAAGAAGGAGTCAAAGAGTAGCAGTAGAAAGGCTGCAAAAAGAGTCAGGAGCCCAGTGGAGGGGGCAAAGGAGGTGAGGGGTGGGGGAAGAAAGAGTAGACGAAAGAAGACGACAGAATATTGCAAGAGAGAAGGAAAGAAGGTGAAAGGAGACAATTTTAGGGAAGAAAATTTTTGCGTAGCTACCCGCATTCGAATCCCGGACCTTCGAATGAGGGCGAACATCTAAACCTCTTGGCCATGAGAGCTCCGTAGACAGTTTGACACAGATACAACAGTCAAGAATGTCCAAGACAGTAGCCCATTATCAATGAGAAAAGTAGTTGCCTTGGACAGGTGAACGTCTTGGACAGTGTCATTACAATATGTGAGACAGCGTGATGAAATCAAGCGCTCGTTAAAATACAGAAATCGGACAAAACAGGGATTTTTCCTCCTGTTTGAACATTTATATTGAATTTTTATTTTTAGGCTCAATCAACCTCTTAAATGTCTGTATAAAAACGCATTTCCATGTGGATTTTACTGAAAAACATTGATTAAAGGCACAAAATATGTCATTTTTCTTTTTCAAGGACTTTTTAGCTACCAAACTTTGGAGGCCAATTCCTCACTAGTTTCACCTCTGAAACCAGGCAACCCCACTTCCTTCAATGGAAAATATCTTGAGTTCTATTCATGATAGATGGATTTCATTGAAAGCAAGGCAAACAAATCTGCTATCAGATGATACAGTAATAACTCCACATGCCCAAAAATTGACGAGCGCCTGATTCCACCGTGTCGTGACACATATGACATATATGGAGGCAGTTAGGAAGTGGTCAATTGCACAGGTGAAAGTTTTGGAAAGGTGGCTGTGGGCCAAACAAAACTCAAGTGCACTCACAAAAAAAAATACATGGATCAAGTTCATCGTCACCTCAAAGGATGGAGCAAAAACAATAATCGGTCTACAGGCAAGTGAACAACTGAAGCTTGTGAAAAGACTAGAAAGAAGAGAAGTTGAGCCTATAGTAGCAGCAGCAAGAAAGATCCCATACTCACAAAGAGAAAAAGTTGAGGCAGAACTAAGATTACTAAGAAGAATGAAAAAACTAGGTGTCATCACCAAAGAAGAGGAGCCTGCTGACTGGGTAACCCTATTATAGACAACAAGCCCAAAGGAAAAGTCAGATATTGAGCCTAGACTCACAGAGACTGAACACAGCTTTGAAAAGAGAGTATTACCAAGTCCCAATTGTTGAAGACATAAAATCGACAAAGATGTCAGGGGCCAAGTACTACTCCAAACTGAGATGCCTCAAGTGGATTCTACCAAGTTCCGCTGAGCAAAGAATCATCAAAACTGAGCACCTTCTCAACACCTTTTGGAAGATGGAGGTTTCTGAGAATGCCATTTGGAATCTCATCAGCACCTGAAGTCTACCAGAAGTTCTTTGGTGACCTGGAAGGTGTAGCCTGCTACGAAGATGATCTCTGCGTGTGGAGCAGTACCATTGAAGAGCACACATGAAACGCTTAGAAGCAGTCTTCAAGAAAGTTATTTTAACAATTTGTCAAGACGATATGCTGTACCTATACTATGCAAGTTTCAACTGTAAATTTGTCCAGGTTCTGAAATTTTCTTCAACTTTCCTGATACTTTTCTCTCCACTGCAATTCAATTTGAGGACACAGTAACATCCTTTGAAATGACTACAGCATCTATACACTTTAAGGAAAGAGGAAAAAATAGTTTACCTGAGTCAGTTCTTGTTCCAAGTGAGCCTGTCTTTCCTGCAGCTGTGAAAGTCGATCTGCTACTTCAGTGGTCATAGCTGTGCTCCCACTGGACAGAGAGCCTTCACCTCCAGCTATTTCAACATCGTCCAGATCTTTCTCAGTGTTGCTATGTAAGCCCTCTTTTTTCCTGCTCTTGAGAGAAGAGAGATCACCACTATCCCCAACACTTTCACTCTCTTTTTCACTTATACCCGTAATGGTCGACCTTTCTTTTTCGGACAACTCAGAATGTTTTTCTTGAGATTTAGACGAATTTGACACTGTGGAAGTGAGACTTTCTTCTGGATTCAGATCTTTCTCCAGAGCATTTTCCTTCTTTTCTCTTTTTAATCGAGATAGTTCTTTAGCAAGGGACTCCAGTTTGGTCCTAAGAAGACGGTTCTCTTCACGAGCCTTATTGCGTTCATTGCGTGCCTTGTTCCACTTCTCCCTCCAGTTAGAAGTGCAGTCTGACCACCATCGCATTGTCTTTTCCATCTGGGCCACCCTGATCTTTGCCTCATCTAGTTCTGCTGCCAGGGCTTCCTCTCTGTCACTCCAGCCTTCCACACCTGTGTGTGAGGACAGACGAACTGAATCACCGCTAGCACCACCAGCCCCATGACCCTGACCTTGCTTCAGCATGTACTGCTGTGGATCCATGTGCTCGGGGAGATATGGCTGTTGCTGCATATGGAGCTGTTGCTGTTGCTGATGCTGGCGCTGTGAATGCTGATGATGATGGAGATGATGTTGGTGTTGATGAGGATTCTCTGGGGTGGAGTGAGGGGATGTCACAGAGGTTGAAACAAAGTGCTGAGCTGTTAACTGCTCAATATTTTGATTCGAAGTAGCTATGCTGGTAGACGAAGAGCCTGCAGATATACTTGGATTTGACGTGGCTCTGATGAAGGAAACATCACCTCGGATACTTCCCCCACTGGAGGGATGCTGCGGGGTCTTGCTCATTGCTAACAGCTTTGGGGAATCAACAGCTACAATAGCAGCAGGAACAGATTCTGGAACTCCCACGAAAGTCAATTGCACACAGCTGGGAAGGAAACAGAGTGTAACAAATGTTTATGTTTCATTTGACCTCCAATCTTCTTTTTAATTATAAATAAAACAAAAATGGAACATGGGCAATGTCCAGACAAAACAAAAAATCTTAAATCTATCAACACTGATTGCAATGCAACCTTGCCATCCTCAAACAGATCATGTATGTAGGCCTACCTCTTTGAGTCTTGGGGGAAACCCCGGAAGATGACAAAAATAGATGGCGGAAATACGTCATCAATCGCAGAAGTGTGCTAGGTGCTCGCTGTAGCTTCATGTCATTCAAGGCTTACTAAGGATGTCACTTGTTTGTCTCATTTAAAAGCTAAATGAGAAACAGCTGCTTTCACAAATATGACAGTATTCATGCTACGACCAATGCTATTACTATTCATCACTGCAGAATCTTGCCTCCTTCCAGGTCATGAAGAGGACAACACAAGTTAGGACTAGGTCGACAATGACGCAAAAAATTAAAAAAAGGCCTACTACACAACTCAGGCTTGGCCTATCCTGTATCCAGATTCAGTGTTCTGAACAGACCTTTAAATTCTCGTACCACCACTTATGATGACTTTTATCGGTCATGAGCATGAAGAATGATGGATGTGTGACATTGTCAATGAATTGTGAAGTGTGTGTGGGGGGCACTGCAGTCTGTGCGCTGCAGCATTGGACAAGAATCAAAATTTATTCACTGTTAAATTGTAGATTGTTGAAATGATCACAGGCCTATCATTACAGAGCCTTGGATTAATTTCGCTTGATCTATCTGGTCAAATCATTATCATTGCATTGGATCATTGGTGAAAGAAATGGAAGGGAAGAAAGCTTGACTTGGCGACTTACCCGTGTTACGTGTTACAGCAGTTGACAACCAATAACAACAACTTCGGCATAGTATCTCAGTGTACATCCCAAAACAGACTATGTTACGTTTGGTGTACGAATCGTAGCATATACTTTTGAGTATTATCAACTGATGTTAAAGCTTGCGTATTCCAGAGCCAACCCGCTAGGCCTATTGAAGAACTAGATCTAGATCTCTAGAGACACCAAAATGTTGTAGATCTAGCAGAGAGATCTTCTAAGAAGATAGGCCTACATTTTATAAAAGCAAGCAGAGCAATCATTCTCTCCCTTGGCAGCATTGGCTGATACAGGAAGCACAATATCAATACTTTCCAATTACCGACCATATAGATTTAGATCCTAGATGGAATTTTAAAGTTTTGGCTGGACCTTTCAATTAAGATAACTTGCAAAACTTTGACAAATAGGCCTTACTCTAGGCAAAATAGTAATTGTAAGAGCCATAACAATCAACGAATTTTTTCTGTGTTTTGTAGCACTTCTAGATCTAATATCTAATCTAGATCTAGAGGTCACTGACAATATTCTAAGTTTATTCGTTTATTTCTTTCTGTCTTTTTCATGACGTTATATCTCTTTCCAAATTAGAATAAAAATTTCAATTTCATAGGTATTTTCTGTATTCAATATATCCTATAGATCTAGAATGCTAGCTGATACTTAAATTAACGAAACCTGGAAAACATTGTCAGATTATCGTAGATCTATCGACATTTAGTATACCATGTCGATTTCTCGAACTCTGCCCTTTGCACTTTGCACTCAACGAGGTCACTAAGGTCACCATGGCGGATGACAAACTGAGCCGTGTGCGGGATGCTGTGGGAGCTCATGAGGGTTTTCCAAAACCAGGTATTGTTTTCAGGTCAGTATTGGATTTTCTTTTGATGTACTTATTACGTCTGTACAGACCAACCTTCGTATGTATGCATGAATTTGCACTTTTCAAGGTGTCGGAAGAAAGAAATTTATCTTAGGAACAGATGAGATAACTGCTGCGAGGTCGACGAGCGTGAAGTGTGGAGTGTGCAACAGTGCTGGTCAGACACAAGTTGTAATCACAAGTGCCCAGAATATAATTCAACAAGTCAAACCTGTGTAAGACGGCCACCCATTGTCAAGGAGAAAAGTGGCTGTATAAGACAGGTGGCCGTCTTAGGCAGGAGTGATCAAGAGGAAGAAAACAAACCATTCCCATCTGAGGTCCCAATCGAAAGTAGTCAGTAGCCTCATTGTTGTTGTTGTTTTTGTTGTTGTTGTTGTTGGTTTGTATTTCGTTTGTAATTTTTATTTTGTTGCTGATTTAGTGCAAGGGTGACAATAAAACGAAATGTATCAGACGAGGTAGACCGAGTGCCTTATTAAAACAAACTCATGAGTCCCCACGACTCGGAGAACGAGCGACGCTTCTGTCACAAGTCCACGTTGACGTCCTTTGTAACTTGTTACAGACTGGGTAAACAGTGACAGCTTATCCATCTCACTTACGATTTGTATATGAGTTCTCGGCGGGGCTTATGGGAATGAGGGCTCACACGCTAACCTCATCATCAGCTGAAAATTGGTACCTATTGGTCAACAGTAGGAGGGGCCTACGCAACATACATGATCGGTTGGAGGGACTACCTAACAACAACGACAAGTGATTGAATTATGACGGCTCGCCCACAACGCCAGGGGCCAATGCACAATTTATGACAAAACGTAATGGAGTCACTGAGGTGGCCGTCTAAGACAGGTGTTATTGCTTAGTGTGATTGGGGTTGTGTGTTAAAATATGGTGGCCATGGCCGCGTTGGACAGGTGCCCGTTTTATACAGTTAAATTATATTTATAGAAAAAATGCAAGGGGGGAAATGGAAAGTGGCCGTTTGTACAGGTGGCCGTCTTATAGAGGTGGCCGTCAGGGCAAGTTTGACTGTATTTCCCGACACTCCTGTTCAATTGCGGTCCCGTTAGATCTAGCACTAAATCACAATTGCATCACTGGATATCGATACTGATTGAAGTGTTTGGTATCAATGTTTTATCTGTAGATCAAGCTGACAAATGTCAAAATGAGCAGTAAAATTTCACTTACAAGGCAAGGCAAAGCGGGTTTTTTGCCCCCCTGACCACACCCAACAAAAACATGGGGGGTTGAATTTCACCATAATTTGATGTTTACAATTAGGTTTGATTGGCTATCTCTCCATAGGCCTATCGGCGCGCGCACATCAAAAAGTAATCGTTTAGAACCAGAAGTAGTAATCGTTGGTAGATCTAGATCTCGGGTCAAAACGAGTATGTATCTCTAAGCGAGACCGCAATTGTACAAGAGTGCCTATTTCCCAGTCCCAGTGTTAGGTCTAGAAGTGGATTGGAAAGTGAGCCTCAATCTTTAACCGTTTTACCGTGGGCTGAGACGAAAACAAAGACAGCGGTTCACATAGGAGGAGGACGAAGTGAAGACCAACAACCCATTTAACACCTATTTTTTTCTTCAAGATTATTGCTCAAACTCAATGTAGGCTTAGATCTAGATCTAGAGTAATAACTTGAATGGCTCAAGTAGACCTCTCAGTGTGAGAGTTATTTGAACTGAGGGTGGGCCGGAAACGAACTCTTATTATAATCTGAAGTTACCAATGGCTTCGAAATATGGTCCGCTAACGCCACACGCTAGGGGGGGCATACAGTCCCCTTACTACTATGGCCTTTTTATTATATATTATTAGAATCGGTCCAACTTACCCACCCTCACCCATTATTTTTTTTTATCAACAAAGATTTGATTTACCCTGCCCCTTAAAAAAAAAATAATTCAGATTTATATATTTTATCCTGTCAGTAACCTGGGGGCTCTCTTGGCCTAGAGGTTGGAAGGACTTCCGTAATGAGCGACCACCCCAACAAACACAATAAAGAAGAGACCTAACCCTAACCCTAACCTTACCTCAAACCTTTACCCTGACCCTACCCCAAACCTAAACCTCTAAACTCTACCCCTACCCATAGATATACCCCTACCTCTACCCCTCTGTTCTACTCACTGTCTCATAGTGGTCGCTCGTTATGGATGTCCTCCCTAGAGGTTAAGGTCACCTCTCATTCAAAGGTTCCGGGTTCGAATCCGGGTAGCAACTGAAAAATGTTCTTCTCTAAAATTGTCTCGTTTCACCTCCTTTCATTCTCTCTAACAATGTTCTGTCATATACTTTCGCCTCCACTTTCTGCCCCCACCCCATCACCTCCTTTGCCACCTCCTCTGTGCTCCTGACTATTTCTGCAGTCTTTGTACTGCTACTTCTTGGCTCCTTCTTACTGCTGTTGTTCAGTCACACCCCTGATCTTATGGTAGGAAACATCTACACACCTTGCCTGCTTGGACAAGGACCCTGCATGTTAAAGATCCCTTGGTGGTCTAAATTTGATAAGAATAGGCTTCAGCCGCCACCCTGGCGAAATTCAAAATTTCCAACCGACTGAAAATGTTTAATAATGTGTCCTGCGTGCTCATATGACCTTATGCAGTTGCGAGCACCATAAAAACTGACCAAAATTTTAAAAAATGTCTGTGATCTATGGCAACATGCCTACTTTGGGAGTGAAAAGAAAAATTTGACTAAACATGCAAAAAAATGAAAGAAAATTAATTCTACCCCCTACCATAAAAAGGGCAAAGAAATCCAATCTAGCCAGCCACTGTTTTCGTTGCAATGTGAAGAGTTCCAGAGAATTTTACATTTGGATTCTTCACAGTACAAAGTGTCAACTTTGATTTATATGGGCATATGACATCTAGTAAAGAAGTTGTCAGGAATCTCGGTGTATATATTGACCACCACTTATCAATGGGCTCGTTTGTAGGATCTCTGTCCAAATCCCTTTATTTTCAGCTGAGAAGGATAGGCCTAGTTCGAAAGTACTTAAGCGAAGAGACCACAAAAACACTGGTAACATCTCTTATCCTATCTAGATTAGACTATTGTAACTCACTCCTAGCAGGTCTGAACAACAAATATTTGAATCGTTTACAAGTAATTCAAAACAATGCCGCTAGACTGATAACAAGATCTAAAAAACGAGACCATGTCACTCCATTATTAAAAGAACTGCATTGGCTCCCTGTAAAAGAACGAATAATATTTAAAATCTGCGTCATGTGTTTCAAATGTGTAAATAAAACTGCTCCTTTTTATCTGCAAGAACTTATCAGTATATATAAACCAGGGAGAAACCTAAGATCATCGAACGATAACACCCTACTTGTGACACCTGTAAAATCATACAAATCATATGGAGAGAGATCTTTCTCATATCTTGGTCCATTTATGTGGAACAGATTACCCATGAAACTAAGACAAATAAGAACACTTGATAGCTTCAAAAGACATCTTAAACATTTTCTGTTCCTACAGGCCTATCCTTCATAAGCTTTTAACGTTAGCTTTCATTATATTTGTTCTTTTCCTATGTCTGGATGAAAATAGTCTCTGTGTGTGTGTGTGTGTGTGTGTGTGTGTGTGTGTGTGTGTGTGTGTGTGTGTGTGTGTATGTGTGTGTGTGTGTGTGTGCATTAATGTATATTGCGTGAGAAGAAAGGAAGTAGTAAGAAAGGTTTTTGAAAAATGGGTATTCCAATGTAAAGCGCATTGAGCTACTTTTTTTGGAAATGCGCTCTATAAATGTTATATATTATATTATTATTATATTATTAAAGTCTAAGGTGTGTATACAAAAGTGGCACTCCTAGAGAACATTTAATTCCTCTGAGAAATAAAGAAAATGGTTTAATAAAGTAGCCTGCCCACTTTAAAGATCCTTCTTGACTTTGTGCGTAGGATACTGCTTGGTAGCAGTCCTAAGTCTTTCACTTTTACTTTTCATTTACATGACATAACACTAAAATACTGTTTCCAAAAATGTCACAGATTCTTTTCTGCGAGGATTCAAGGGATATACCGTTTTAAAGATGGTGTTAGCATGGTGAAACTTATTTCCTACCGTTATTACTCTTTCAGTGCTCTCTAATCAATTAGCCTACTTTTGAAAGCATTTTTTAACTGATTTTTAAATTCTTTTTTGTTTCAGAGATATTTTTCCTGTACTAAGGAATCCCTCTGTGTTCAATGATTTGAATGACCTGATATATGAAGCTGCAAAGGCTGTTCCTGGAGTGGAGTGCATTGTAGGCTTGGACTCACGTGGATTCCTCTTTGGGCCTATTCTTGCTCTGAAATTGAACGTCCCTTTCGTGCCTGTGAGGAAGAAGGGCAAATTACCAGGAGCGGTTGAGAGGGTTTCCTACACCCTAGAATATGGTTCGGTAAGTAAATACTTTACTTTTATTTGGATATTTTATTTAAGTGATGAGGCAAGAAAGCCTGTTGTACAGGTTTCAAAATCATTTCTTAATTAGATTGTTTGCAATCTTCTGTCAGTTTTTAGCAATTTGTTTTTTATTTTAAGTTATAATTAGTTATTTTGCTTAGATCTGAAGAACTTGTCTTGTGAAGATAAGTACAGTTGGCTGCTATATTTTGCCTTTTAATTTGAGAAGGTGCCTTTAATTGAAGTTACTAAACCGAAGTCTGTGATGTAGCAGTTAGTCAAGCATTTCGCTCTCACACACAGGAGACTGAAGTTTGATTCTCGAGTGGGGTGAATTTTTATTGAGTATCTTGGTCTTTCTGTGGGATGTTGTAGCCCTCTCAGCCCAGGTGTGGCATCGTTGGCCTAGTGGTATGGCTACCGGACCCTTAATCATGGGATTGCGGGTTCGGGAGATCGAGCGTCAGCTCGGTCAGACTGTATGTCCTTGAGAAAGGCATTTTACACGAATTTCCTATTTGGCTCGATCCTTTCGGAAATAAGCGTTGAACTCAGAGTCCCTGCTCTTAACTCTTTCCAGATGTATTGCCGATATATCGGCGCGAGTCCACACCCCTTGCGGACGTATCGCTGATAGATCGGCTGTGATTGGGTGCCTCAGTATTGTTTCGTTTTAACACGATCCGTCATTTATATTTACTTTTTATTGCTATTGAAAAACTCGGAAAGGATTTAGAAAACGAAAACATCTAGTTTCGCTTTTTCAAAGCGTGGGTTTTGGGGAAAAACGAGTGAATTAGTTCTTGCGGTCTTGCATGACCAAAACAATGTAACCGGACTCCGTAAAAAAATATCATGAAAAAAAAAAAATTGGATTATTGCTTTCTAATAAAAAGCTGCTCATTCAGAAATTTATGGAGAATATGCTCTTGTCCTGTATATGATAAGATAGCATGCTGATTTGCTTTCACAAGTTTGGTGAATGTGATTTTTTCCATCAAAATTTATTTTTCTCATCACCTTCGCCATTTCTAACCCTTCTAATGCATACCTATGTTCAAGATTAATCCTTGTTTCATATTAGGATGTATTCCTCATTCAATTTCCTTCAATTTGATATACCATATGTTACGTTTTGAGTGATGGTTATGCTTCTATATGAAGTTAATTTGTACACCACCTGCATAGCCAAATCGAGCCACAAGTTGATAATGTCTAGACCAAAAAAAAACCACGTCCGGAAAGAGTTAAGTGACTGTGTTGATAGAGGCGTTAAACCTGTACCATATAATTTCAGCCCAGGTTGGCCCTGACAGACAAGGTTGAAAGCCTGCCTCTAAAATGAACTAAATTGTATTTATGGAAGTGTTAAAAATACCTTATTAGAAAAAAAAAAGAAATAGCTAAATCTTTTTAAAAACTTGCAACTTCTGGTTGGCATTTAGACCCATTGTGTGTAAATTTATTCAGACATCACCTTTTATCACCTCAGTTGTAAAATAATTTCCTGTGCCAGCACATATTTGTGGTTTAAATTTATGCAGTTAACACTTTTCCCACTTCAGTTGTAAATATTTCATAATTCCCCATCCTTTGTCAGTCTCCTGGAATATTTGAAAAAAGGGCTTTTAGGAAGTTACAGCTGTAGTTTGGTGGGCTTGCAATCAAAGGTTCGCACAATTTCACCCTCTTTGACTACCTTATTCATTTAATTTTGCTTTGTTAGTCTCCTGAAGGGACATACAGTATGATACAGTATTGAAGCTAGATAACTGTGTTCTGCTGTTTTATTCACACTTTCTGTTTCTGCCAATTAGCCGGTGCCACCCTTAGGCAGGGGAACAAATTTAAAAAGAAATAAAGTTCATTTCTTTTTAGTCCAGGTACTTTGTTTTGTGCACTTAAGTTTGGCATGGCAGGGAATGTGTAGGTTTGTAATGTCTGTTCATCGATTGCCTAGGGAGTTGGGCTCTATTTTACATTGAAGTTTTCTCGGTCGCAAGGTCTGATATGTACAATTAAGGCTCTTCATTTTGTGTCTATTAAACTATGAATTGGTTGGTGTGTTGAGGGCATATAAGGTTATTACATAAATGAAGACCGGGCTGTAGTGTAGGAAAAAAAGTTTTGTCAGGAACCTTGTGTCTTGAAATGTATTGCTGGTCTGGTGCGTGGTAAATTCAGGTGTCCTAGTTTTCTGTTCTCTTTAGGTTTCTTTAGAACTGTTACTATTATAATTGCCTACTATAACCTAATAGTGTTGATAAGGGCTTTAAACCCATACCATACCAATTACTTACTATTGTTATTATTATTTATGATAATTTGTATGTCATTACCATTATATTTGTACTATATTTCTACATCATGTATTACTTTTTTTTCGGTAGCTTCCTTTCGACATGTACCCCAGTAAATTAGATTTACCCATAATGCTTTTAATAAGTTCCGTAAACTCAGTCAACATCATGTCCAACTGCTTTGTAGATGTTCAAATCTCCGGCTGAGAGTTTAAGGACTTTAGGGATTTTCCATCCTCATGGCTCAGTTGGATGAGAGATACAAGTTGAAGCTGGAGATCTCAACGTTTGTATAACTTTTGTATGGTGTTCATCCCGTACTGCAAACTATTTCGTTATTGTCAGACTCAGAGTTGTGGGTGGTTGGAGGGCGCCACTGGTAGAACCTACTTCTTTACGTTCTTGCTGGGTTTTTTTCATTCTGTCTGTCTTACCCTTTTCCACCACTAAATTACCGTTATTGTGTCAATGTGCTTCTCTTTACCCAAGCAAGCAAGACTCAGAATAATGCTTTCCTGGAGTACCGTTTTGTACCGTTACCAATTTGCTATAACCAGTCGAATTAGTAGGAGCAGAGAGTGCCGTTGATGGGTCGTGTTTCTTTATTCTGACTCGCATATCTCTGTCTCTGTACTGGTCTGTCTCGCTCTTTCTCAGCCCTGAATGGCCGTTATCGCGTCGATGAGCTTTTCTTTTCTCACGCCAAACTGAAGAGCCAAATTGAGCTGGACGAAATAATACAAGACCATTGGAATGTTGCATGTACATGAATGACTGAACCATCAAATTAAGCCATATGAAATAATGTAAAACTGTTGGATTGTCGCATGTATATGAATGGCTTAACAGTCAAATTAAAGCAGATGAAATAATGCAGAACCGTTGGATTGTCGCACGTATGAATGGCATGTTAACAGCTGTCCCAGATAACGGTTCAGAGCAAGGTGTCCCGCGACTGGGTCAGCAGTTTAGATCATTGGCAAGCCTTGGAATGTTTCAAATTTTGGCTCGCTGCAACTCGTCTACTTAAAAAAAAGGAGGGGCTGGTATACATTTTGCGTATTCCCTTAGAATAAAATAAACAGAACAAAACACAAAAAGTACAGTCGGACTTGCTCTAACGGCCACTTGTATAATAAGACAGTCACGTAAACAGATGGCCACTTCCCATCTCCTCCCTTGCGCAATTTTCTTACATTAAAATGAAACTGTGTAAGACGTACACTTGTCCAAGACAACCATCTTTTCTCCTTAATAAGTGGTGGCCGTCTTAGACAGTTTCAGGGGGCTCTCGTGGCCTAGAGGTTAAAGTGTTCGCCTCTCATTCAAATGGTCCCGGGTTCGAATCCGGGTAGCGACTGAAAAATTTTCTTCTCTAAAATTATCTCCTTTCACCTTCTTTCCTGCTCTCTAAATTTTCTGTTGTCTGCTTTCATTTCCACTTTCTGTCCCCGCCCCCTCACCTCCTTTTCCCCCTTCTCTGGGCTCCTGACTCTTTCTGCAGCCTTTCTACTGTTATTCCTTGACTCCTTCTTACTGCTGTCTTTCTGCCACACCCCTGATCTTCTGGTAGGAAAGATCTACATCTAGCCTTCTCGGACAAGGGCGAAAAATCTCGGAGGGCCCGTGTGCAAGTTGCGCACGTTAAAGATCCCTTGGTGGTCTAAAATCGATAAGAGTAGGCTTCGGTCGCCACCCGGCAAAATTCAAAATTTCTTACCAACTGAAAATATTAGGTGTGTCCCGCGCGCTCACATGACCTTATGCAGTTGCGAGCGCTGTAAAACACTTTACTAAAACAAAACAAACAAGACAGTTTCGGCTGAACGTTTGGACGCGAGTGGTGGTCTCGAAAACGTTCGTCAGAGCTCTACTTATTGGTCACAACGACTAATAGGCTAACACTAACGATGTCACCTTAGCAGAGACTGAGCCCACCTTTTCGGAACTTCATGGTGACCGTAAAGATGGTTCCAGTAGGGAACGGGATAGAGGGTGCCCACGTCCCTCGTGACTCATTGGAGCAGAGGAAGATAGGACTAACGCTAACATTACTTAAACGCAATCCCTCATCATCACTCATCACCACTATTAATTCTAAAATCATCACCTCTCAAATCAATGACTTACATCTATAATCCTGGAATCTCTATCCGCTATTACAGGTAATTGATATTCTAAGTATGCATGTAGTACACTATTGGACACAATCATATGCTCTTTTTTCTACTAATCAGATGGCGTCAATCTCATATAAATGGGCAAGGAAAAAAAAAAAAGTTCCCAACGACTAAGAAGACACGTGTGATCTGGGACAGGTTGTTAAGTTCAGTAGCAGTAAGTGCTCGGATCAAAGGAAAATTTCTCAGCGTGTCCTGTATTTTCCACGGACTTGAAGGGAAAAGAGGGGGGGGGGCGGTGTAAGAAATAGGAGTGGGATGGTGGAGAGATAGACACATAACATTATAGGCTAGTGCACCTGAAATCACCAAGGAGTCGCGTGTATCGGCAGACGGGGGTCACAGTAAGAACGTATGGGAGTTCTGTGCGGGATTTGTGCCCCGTTCCATTTCTTTGTTGCCAAGCAGATAGGACAAACTTTCTTACCCTCAATCCTCGCTCGGAAGATAGAGATAATGCCTGGTCACATTTTTCTCCTTTACGTAAAATTGTTACGGCATGTACACTAAGGCGC